CCCCCCCCCGCGCGTATTGAATTTTCCCCCCAAAAGAAAATCCCCCTTCCTTCCTTACCAATGACTCCCCAAAGGGGCCCCTGCCCCCCTCCCCCTCTCCGAAAAAAATCCAAAGGGTCCTTTTTCATTTTTTCCCGCCCCCAAATCCTTTATTGGGGGTTTAATTGATACCCCGCCCCCCTTCCCTTAAAAATTTTAAATATTTTTAAAAAATATTAAATTTTTATTTTTTTTTTTAACCTTCTTTTTTTTGGAATATCTTTTTTTGGTAAATGTTTATAAATTTTTAGGGAAAAAAAAAAAAAGAAAAATTAAAATAAAAGTAATTTTACCTTTGGTTTTTTTTTTTTTTTTTTTTATTTTTTTTTTTTTTATTTTATTTTATTTTATTTAATTTTATTTTATTTTATTTTCTAGTTTATGAATGTGTGTGTGTGTATTTTTGTGTTTTTATTTATTTTATAAATTTGAGATTTATATAAATATTTTATGATCACAAAGATATAAATAAAGATGTTTAATATGTAAGAAAAAAATAATTTTGATAAGATGAAAAAAAAAAAAAAAAAAGTTAAATTAAAAAAATATATTAAAAAATTTAAAATTATAATTAGTTTTTTAGTAACTTAAAGAACATTAAAAAAAAAGAAAAAAAAAAAAAAATTAAATTAAAAAAAAAATTAAAAAAATAAAACAAATAATTTAAAAATAGAACGGTACTATTTGTGAATGTGTGTGAAAATGGATTAAAAAAAAGAAAAAAATTAATTGAAAATTTTATTATTTATTTATTATAATAAAAATAGTAAATTTTTTATTTATCTAATTTATTTGATATTTCTACAACCTTTTTCTAAAAAATAAAAATATTATAAATAAACAAAATTAATTATAAAAACTTGAGAAAAAAAAAAAAAAAAATAATTATAATAAAAGAAACTTTTTATTTTTATTTTTGTATTTCTTGGTTGTCTTTATGAATTTCGATGTTTTAAAATTCCTATGGGAATTTATCAAAAAAAAAATATAAATATTTTTTTATTTTTTTATTTTTTGATATTTCTTTAATAAATAGGTAGAAATATAATAAAATTTGATAATAAATACTATGATCTGAAAAAATATTTCTTTAGTTGTTAACATCGAGAGTCCAGCATCCGCCAGACGGGGTTGGGTAAACATTTTGATGGCATGATTTAAATACTCCAAACTTTTTCAACTGCAGCTTTGTGATTTTTGAGGAGAAATCTAAAGCTGATAATATATTTATTATAAAATTGAACTAAATTGACCATTCTTTTATTTTCATTTGAAAACTTTCCGATATTATTCCATAGTGTATTTTTATTGATTTCTAATAAAACTATTTTAAAAACCATGTAAAAAAAAATTAATTTAAATTTTAGTAATATCTTACAATGGATATCTAAAATTAATAATTGAAAATGATATAATAATTTATAAATAATATTTTACAAATAAACTACTTTTAAAAGTAAATCTATACTCAAATAAAATAAAATATTTTTTTATTATTTTTAATTTTTTCCATTTTTTTTTTTTATTTTTTTTATTTTTTAATTTTTTTTTTTATTTTTTATTTTTTTTTTTATTTTAATATTTAATTTTTTTATTTTTTTTTGATTTAATATCTATATTTATGCAATATCATTCTTTTAATTATAAATACAGTATAATAAAATAATTTAATCATTTTATATATCTATATGTGTATATTATATTATAATGAAAGAAGATAAAATAACAAGAATATTAAATTGCAATTATAAAGAATTTGTAAATATATATAAAGATCAAGCAGGTCAAAATGACTATCATTTAAAAAGAGGCGATATCAATATCAAGTTTACCAATTGGACCACCATTACTAATACAGGATCATTAAATAAAGATTGTGACAATGAAGAAAGATCGATTACATTTCAAGCACCAATCAATGCACCCCAATCAGTTTTAAAAATTATTGGTAAAAACGCAACAACCATAAACGAAAATCAAAAATTATCAGTAAATAATAAATCAAAGAGTATCGATATCAAGACATTTTACCAACCAGATATTATGGGTGAATATTTTAGCGTAGAGACTGAATGGCATTTAAAAACAATAGATCCAGAGAAATGCTCATTGGAATTAGTTATTCGTGTTACATTCAATATGAAATTTGTTGGTAATCTATTTGAAGTTTTTATTATTAAAGCAGCCTCCGAATCAGCAATACAATATGTCGATATTGTCGAAGATTATTTAGAAAAATTAAATATTGAAAAGAGAAAACAATATCAACAACAACAACAGCAACTAGCTCAACAGCAATTATTATTAGAGCAACAAGCTGAACAACAGATATTACAACAGCAACAGCAACAGCAACAACAACTACAAAATAAAAAGAAAAATGAAAAGGCACATAAAAATAATCAGCAACAGAAACAACAAATAAAATCTAAAGTTTTCAAACCCTCAATTAAACCATATCAAAATTGGTCAGTAGATTGCAATATAGGTATGATATTATCCCCCAAACTATACACTACCATAACTAAATATACTCATACTTTCTCATAATATATAGACCAAGTTAAAAAAGATTTAAATAAAGATCTTGAATATTTAAAATCCAATTCTTTAGATGCATCACAGGGATTATTAAAAGTAGAAATATCCTTATCGGAAATGAAATCTGAAGAGTTACAACTTCAACATAATGTAAATAATAATAATAATCAACTTTCACACTCTATTTCAAACTCATCATTATTAAACTCATCAGGGGATTCATCAAATTCATCTTCGTTTTTATCACCATTTAGTCTAAGTTTATTGGATAAAAATAAACAAATTCAGCAAAACCAACCACAACAGCTATCATTACAAACCCAACATTTAAATATTCAACAGCAATTATATTTATTCCAACAATATCAACAACAAAACCAACAAACTTTATCAAACAATAGTCAAACCAATCAACATATTCAACTTTTACCACATTTACAAATCCAGTATTTACAGCACCAACAACAATACCTCCAGCAACAGCAACAGCAGCAAAACTACTTAAATTTACAAAATCAATACCAACAACAGCAACATCAAAATATACCAAATTTAATAAAACAAGTAGAAATAAACAACAAAGTATTGAAAGACCAAAGAATAGAATCAGAAGAGCGTATAGAAGAAGAAATTCAATCAATTTCGGACTACTTTGATGATATGATTAAACTTCAAGAAGATTCAAAACCCTGGCTCCCATCATTCATTAATATTTCTCTAATTGTTGCTATTTTAGCTGTTATACTATCTATATTTTCAAATAAAAACTCAAAAAGAAATAGATATTAAAAAAATATTTAATATTATTTTTTTTTTAACCAATCATACTGTTTAATGATGTGGGTAATATTGTTTTTAATTAATCTATATAATTTACCCTTTAGATTATTTATTGTGAGTAAAATTAAGATTAAATCTTTTTAATAAGTCTTCCTGTATTATATTTAGTTGAAAAATAATATAAATTATAATTAAAAGAAAAATATAGAATTATTTTTTACTATTGTTTTTTTTTTAATGAAAAATAACTAGGTTCCACCAAAACAATTCTTTTTAATCATTTCTTTTTCTATCTTTTTTTTAAAATCAATTTTTTTTAACAGTCAAAATCATCATTTTCATCAGATGACTATTCATTATATTGTTATTGTGTTGCTCTAGTTTGAGTATGAGGTTCGTTTCCTATGGTTTATTGGTAATAGTTATTTATTTTATAAAATGAATATGTGTTATGATTTAAATTTTTTTTTTTACTTTAATAATGTTTAGAAATGACAAAAACCTCACCCTCCCTGGACGAGGAAACTAAGATAAGACTACATATCCAATTTAAGGAGATGTCTGATATCATACAGTTTTTTAGTGGCTACTATGGACAAGGAAATGGTTATTTGGTATTGTGCTGTGGAAATTCTTATTTTAATGTATGAGCCAATGTGAGTCTTGCTCGACTAGGAAATATTAATCATGACTGATTACTTTATATATTTATTTATAATAATTTTAAAATATGAAAATTTTTATAAATATAATAAATAAATAAGAGTTTGAGAAAATAATAAAAGATTTAAAATAAGTAAAAAAATATATTTTTTAAACAGGGAATAATGAACAGAGGGTAAATTCTTTTAAAGATTTTAAGGAAATTAATAATTATATTGAGTTTTTGAATTTTTTATTTGGTAATGCACTAACGACCACTAAATATGAGTGTTGTGATACTATTTGGTAATGTGCCGGGTGGAATTATTTGGTCATAATTTTCACCGAATGTGAGTTTTGTGAGACTATTTGGTAATGTGCCTGGTGGAACTACTTGGTTAAAATGACGTCCGAATGTGAGTTTTGTGAGACTATTTGGTAATGTCCCAGGTGGAACTTCTTGGTTAAAACAATAACCGAATGTGAGTTTTGTGAGACTATTTGGTAATGTGCCTGGTGGAACTACTTGGTTAAAGTTATGACCGAATGTTAGTGTTGTGAGACTATTTGGTAATGTACCGGGTGGAATTACTTGGTTAAACAAATAACGGAATGTGAGTGTTGTGAGACTATTTGGTAATGTGCCAGGTGGAATTACTTGGTTATAATTTTCACCGAATGTGAGTTTTGTGAGACTATTTGGTAATGTGCCAGGTGGAACTACTTGGTTAAAATTATAACCGAATGTGAGTGTTGTGAGACTATTTGGTAATGTGCCTGGTGGAACTACTTGGTTAAAATCATAACGGAATGTGAGTGTTGTGAGACTATTTGGTAATGTGCCAGGTGGAACTACTTGGTTAAAACTATCACCGAATGTGAGTGTTGTGAGACTATTTGGTAATGTGCCGGGTGGAATTACTTGGTCAAACTCATAACCGAATGTGAGTTTTGTGAGACTATTTGGTAATGTGCCAGGTGGAACTACTTGGTTAAAATGACGTCCGAATGTGAGTGTTGTGAGCCTATTTGGTAATGTATCCGGTAGAGCCACTCGGTTAAAACTATCACCGAATGTGAGTGTTGTGAGACTATTTGGTAATGTGCCGGGTAGAACTACTTGGTTATAATTTTCACCGAATGTGAGTTTTGTGAGACTATTTGGTAATGTACCGGGTGGAACTACTTGGTTAAACAAATAACCGAATGTGAGTGTTGTGAGACTATTTGGTAATGTACCGGGTGGAACTACTTGGTTAAACAAATAACGGAGTGTGAGTGTTGTGAGACTATTTGGTAATGTACCGGGTTGAATTAATTGGTTAAAATGATCACCGAATGTGAGTGTCGTGAGACTATTTGGTAATGTGCCAGGTGGAACTACTTGGTTAAAATCATCACCGAATGTGAGTGTTGTGAGACTATTTGGTAATGTACCAGGTTTAATTACTTGGTTAAATTCATCACCGAATGTGAGTGTTGTGAGACTATTTGGAAATGTACCGGGTGTAATTAATTGGTTAAAACTATCACCGAATGTGAGTGTTGTAATTGTATTTGGTAAAGTTGGTGACATATTTAAACGGTACAAATATAAATTTGTCAAAAATGGTGGAAATTCATTTTTATCTGAAAGTAGATCACCATGCCACTTAAGTGTTGTTATATATGATTTGTCTTTAAACTGGTCATAACGTGATTTATCAAGATCTACAACCCCATGTTCAATAAACTTTAAAATATGTTTATGAATTTCTTTTCTTAAAACAATATTATTCCAAACTTTATATAATAATCTATAATAAATAGTTAAAAAGAGAAAACACCAATTAATATGCTTTTAATTAATTAATTAATCGATTATTATTTATTGTATTGTACTTACCTATCACTAATATTACTACTGTTTTTTAACTCTTCATTTATGGGAAATTTAATTAGAGATGATAGTAGCTCATTCATTTGTGAATATAAAATAAAAAAATAAAAATATAAAAATATAAAATAAATAAATCGCTGGATAGTTTTGTGTGAAATATATTTTTTTTGTTTTTTTTATTTTTTATTTTGGTGAAATTTTTAATAAAAATTTTATTAAAATTTTATAATAATATTTTTTTTTTTTTTACACAAAATTTTATATTTTTAATTTTTTTTTTACTATTTTTTTTTTACTATTTCTTTACCACTGTGCATATTGTTTCTATATTGTTTTGTAGGTGCACTGCTTGTTGGAGTTAGTAAACGGCGGTGGTTTAAACTAATATTTCTAAAATGATTTCAATAAAAAATATATCCTGTATGCAAGAAATTAAATCAATAGTATCCATTGATGCTGAAATGATTCTTTGGTTATCTTCATATTTTTTAATATAAATGATCCCCACTGCGCAATTGATTTTATATTTTCATGTTTTTATTAAATTAGACCTACATTAATAGCATTTGAAGTACTACGACTGAAGAACCTATATAATAATTTCTCTTACACATACTCGTAAGCATACTAATGCTCATGCTCATACGCAACCCATATGGGTATGCATGCGTATGAAAAAAAATAAAAATAAATTGAACTTGATGGTTATTTTAAAGTCTGTAAAATTGATGAAAGAGACCAAAAAGTTCCTACATTTAAATCAATTGCAACAACTGGTTTTAAAACTCAAAATCGTGAAGTTAACCCAAACAAATGTTATAATAATAGCGATGCGGTGGATCTTCATAAATTAAATAATTCAATTTTAAAGAAATTATGTTTAAGTTTAGGTGTTTCAAGATCAAGTAGTAATAAGAGAATGGTTATGTCAATTTGTGGTATAGATCCATTATCTTATTCAACCAACCCCAATTTATACTCATTATTATCAGAAGCAATTCAAAAAGATACTTTAAAATCATATTCATTGGTTAAACTCAAAAACTTGAATCAAAATTTTAATATTCAGCTCCTGCTCAACCAACATGTGAAGGTTACATTTTAGCTAAAATTTATTTTTTATTCATCCACAAGTCCTGTATTTTAACTACTCATCGTCTTTTTCAAGCTCAATTATATTTATATGCTTTACATTCCAATATTCATAAAATTGATAAAATATATTTAATAAAGATATTACAAACAAAACATTTTCTTTTCTTATTTATTTTTTTTTTTTTTAATTTTTATAATTTTTTTTTTTTAATTTATATTTCAATAATTTATATTTTTTTATTTTTTAATTGATCAAAAATAACACCCGATAAAAATTAACACAAATAATTTTCTACAAAACTATATAACTCATGAAACATAAATAATATATTTACAAATAAAATACCATTCATAAGAAAAAAAAGAGAAATTTAATAGGGTTTTTTTTTTTTTTTTTTTAAAAATTGAAACATAATCATGTTTTATATGTCATTGCAATGTCATATACATTATGAATTATATAATAAAGAAATTATAATAAAAGTATGAACTTCAACCACATTGGGGTGGTTTTTTTTTTTTTTTTTTTTTTTTAATTTTTAAATTATATAATAAAATAAACATTGTTTTATATAAAGTTAATAACAACTTTTTTTTTTAAATTTCTTAAAATTTTTTTTTTGTTTTTCCGCACCCCCCCCAAAAAAAATTTTTATTTAAAAAAAAAATAAAAA